GGGAATTCATTTAAGTGACAACCTTCACCGTACCTGCTGAATCTGCACACAAACCTTTGCTTTCATGAAGCAGTTATGAATTTTGAAGCACCACTGAGTAATTTCACCCTAGAATTGTTTGGGTTGGAAGAAACCTCAAAGCTCCTCCAGCGCAACCCCTGCCACGGGCAGGGACCCCTTCCACTGGAGCAGCTTGCTCCAAGCCCCTGTGTCCAACCTGGCCTTGAGCACTGCCAGGGATGGGGCAGCCGCAGCTTCTCTGGGTACCCTGTGCCAGCGCCTCAGCACCCTCACAGTAAGGGTGTCACATGCTTCTCCTGGTTAAATAAACCCCAAACCCATCTGATCTAGCAAAGTCTAAGACACTATTGGCTACAGACGCTGTAGCCGAGTCCCTAACTCCTTCCAGAGCAGCCAGCTTGAGTGCCCACAGGGAACGATTCGTGTTTCCAAGCGCCTCTCCCACCAGCTGCCATCTGCCTGGACTCGTCCCAGGCCCTGGCAGAGGCCAGGAGCGCTTCTGTTGCTGCGCTGGAAGCAGGGGCAGGTTTGGTTCAGCCCGGCAGGGGACGGATCCTGCTGCACCCCTGCGCCACCTCCGCGCTGGAGAGCCCCCGGGATGGGGGAGTCAGGATGAGCCGCCCGCCACCGCTCAGACCCCGCAGCCTCCGCCCCGCCGCGGGGAGCCGGGGCCGGGCCAGCCACCGCCCCTCACTGCCTCAGCCGGGGGCTCGCCTCGCCCCGCCCCGCCCGTACCCCTCGCCCCACCCAGCCGGACAGGACGGCGCACGCCCGAGCCGGGAACGGGATCGGTGGGGCCTGCGAACCGCGCGGCTCCCGTCAGCCACGGGCCGAGGAACGCAGCGGCCGGGCGGCACCGGACAGCGGCTCCCTCCCCTCCCGCAGCCCCGGGGCTCACCGGCATGGCGGCAGCAACGGCGGCGGCACCGGACACAGGCACCCACCCGCCGTCCGGCACAACGGGACAATAACAGCACCGCGCCTGCGCCCGCCCCGCGCCGCCGCGGCCCGCAGCCAATCCCCGCGCGCTGCGGAGGCCGCGCACCCAATGCCTGGAGAGGAAAGGAGGGGCCCGGCCTGCCCCTCGCGGCCATTGGTGGCAGAGCCAGCCAATGACCGCGGCGGAGCGGCGGGGGTGGGCGGGGCGTCGCCATGGGAACGGCGGAGGGCGAGGGGCGGGGCTGGAGGCACTGCGGCGTGATGGCGCCGCTCGGGGCGGGGACGGGCGGTGTCGGCAGTGGGGTTTCGGGGTAGGCTGGAGCCCGTGGGGCTGACGGGGTCCGATGGCTCTGACACGGCTCCAGTGGCGCTTTGCAACGCATCACACTGGGCACATGAATCCTTTCCGGCTCTCCCTTTGCTCAAATGCCCTGGGAGGTCGGGTTTGGATGCTCTGACATCCGGCGGCAGCAAAAGCCAAAGTCATGCGCGGTTCTTGCTTCCAGGGAGCACACACATCCCAGAGTTTCGGCTTTAGAGCAGTTTCCAGAGGGTTCATGCCGCGATGAGGTTTTTAATGGAGATAAAGGTGTGAGCCCCCATAAAGCACTGATGCGGAGCCCACATCCATCACTGCTTACAGAGAGCAGCAGACATTTTATAGCTATAATGTCTGCTTCCTGCTGTCAGAGACACCAGAACATGAGCACTGAAATGATCTCTTTCAGGCTGAGATGGTCTCTTACAGGGTATTACTTGGAGATGGTTATTTCACGCAAACACCTGCCTAGCCTGGACAGTGGCATTTCCAATGCTGTTGTGTGCCTTTGATAGAAAAGATTGAACTGCTTTAAGGAGACCTGTTAATAGGAATTAATAAACCTCCTAAGAACAGTCATCTCTGAGCTGTTGTGCAGAAACAATAGACCCCTGCTTGCCAGAAACTGGCACTGAGGTGATAACAAATTGCAGTTTAACAGCTCTGCAAACGGAGAGCCGAGCGTGCGGAACGAGGCAAACAGCAACAGGCACTGCTCGCCCCGAGGTTACTCAAGCAAGACTTCGGACAGACTGGGAGGGAAAAGCTGGGCTGCACCGTGCATAGCAATGGGATGGCTTTCATCGTGAGCTGCCCCTCGGGGAAGACAGGGGACAGGATCGCTCCGTGTGCAGCAGCCACGTCTGTGCTGCTCCTGGCTTAACTCTCAGCGCTGAAAGGCACCGCGGGAGGAAATCACACTGAGGACGAGGAGCTGGGCATTGCTTTGCCGTTGTTCTCTTGGTTTGACAGCCACGGCCACCAGGGAAGCTGGCTCAGGGAGCCGCTGGGAAGCGCCCTGGACCTCCAGGAGGGTTAGGGTTATGGTTAGGGTTAGGGTTAGGCTCTCACCATGAAGGTATCTCCATGTCCTTTTGGAAGTCCCTAAGGGACCGCAGGGACGCAGTGCTGGTCCTGCCATCTCATCCACCTGAAAGCAAAAGTCATCTTCCATGGCCTAAGCTTAAGGAATGGAGGGGAGAAGGCTCTGTGTTTGCCGTGCTGTACCATCTTTTTAATGCGCTGTATAAACCAGGTGCTTTATGTTTCGGTTTGACTCAAGTCGGTTTGGGAGCTGTGGTGGGGCAGGTGAGAACAGCAAATCAATGGTAAATACATAAACACGACCCGTTATTAATTGTGCTTGGATGACACTGAAGGGCTGTTAAATCAAAACCTGCTCCTGACTCCCAACAAACACCCTCAGCACCCTGTCTGTAAGAGCTCAGTTTGGGGCTCACATGCGCTGTGCAGGGGGAGGCCTGGGTGCTTCCCCATTCAGTGCTCCTGTACAGCCCAGCACCAAGCCCCTGTGAGCACAGACAGAGCCTGACTGGGTGGGCAACACCACCGAGTGTGCTGAGCTGCTCCAAACCTTGCCCTTGCCCTCACTCTGTAGACACAACCAACAGCTTTCTACATCCCAAGCCTGCAGACATCTGAACTGGTAATTAGAGCGCTTGGGATGAGCTGAGCCTTCCTTTGGAGATTTATTAACAAAATCATCAAAGCTCTAACTGTTTTCCTGCTGACTTCTTCTTCCCCTCGGGGCACAGATATCTCTCTGGCATGGCACAGGAAAACAGTTCTGTGATTGCAGAAATGAGCTCTCAGCTCCACTTCTACCCCAAAACCTTTGCCTTGGCTACCAGCATCTTTAACCGGTTCCTGGCATCAGTAAAGGCAGAGGATCCCGGTCCCCTTTTCCCTGGCTAGGTTACTGACCGGGGATGTAAGGAGCACGTAATCAGTTTAAACACAAAGCAGGCGCTATGTTTGGCAGCAGATTTAGGGAGCAGGCAGGGGCTTTGCCAGGCAGGCTTTGAAGCATATACATTTATATATGAGCTGAGTGTTTAATGAGGTTTCGCTGATGTGCAGTCCTCGGTAGGAGTGTTTGTGTGAACTGCAGTGCAAACGCTGGGCTAGGCACACAGAACCCTCCTCTGGCTGCCTCTGCTCAACAGAAAACATTTGCATCCTCACTTTCAGTGTTTTAGTTTGGAAACCACTGGTTTTAACCAATGAGGCCAACTTTTCCTGCCATTGAAACAACAGCAAAGTTAGGAGTTGAGCTGAGCCTTGCAGCTCTCAGTCCTATTCAGATCCATACTGAATATTAATAGCATATTAATTAGTATCTCAGCTGAGGAGCAACACTGCATTGTGAGTACTGTGGCACTGCATAGTGAGATACATGAATAAAACTTGCAGCAAGAAGAGGACTTGTTTTGTTTCACCTTGGGTTTCTTTGCTCTATTTCCAGCTTCTAATGAAGCTTTCTGCAGCTAAACTAAGTCAGAAGCAACTGCAACTGAAATGAAGGTTTGAAACCTGTGCATCTATTGTAGAATGGCAATCACTTCCCCAACACTGTCACCTTCCTTAGTCAGTGTTTTCTTCTTCTCCCTTCAGGCCCAATTAAAATATCTTCAGTGCATTCCCATTTCCTGCCTTATCCTTGCAGCAAAAACCGGTGAAGAAGATGTCTGTATGTTCAGCTTTAAGCACACTAACCTCATCTCTTGTGTTCAATGTGTTCATGTTTCCAGGTCTTTCAACACCTTGGGCATAATGAAGTGTTGTTTACCCCAGGTAGTCCTTAAGGGCTGGCAGTAACATTTTCAGGCCTGTTTCATCACTGTTTGGAAGAATTGTGACCTTTAGGGATGAAGGACTTGTGTTTGCTTTTATGATGGATGTGTTTCCCTCCTCCTGCCCCTAAAGCTCTCCCCTCCCTTCAGAATGCACAGCTCACAGCAAGGCTTAGTCTGGGGGGAACAGCCAGGATGCAGATGCACAGCTTTGTGTGCACAACATCAGAGTGCTGTAATTCTGTTGCTCTAGGTCCTGTTGGGTAAGGTAGGCACAACAGAGCAGGGGTTCTTCAGAGGAAGCTTGAAATAGATGAGTTTGCTCAGAGTCAAAACTAGTTTCTGAACCTAGGGAGGAAATGACTCAGGTCTGAGCCTCGAGGTGAGCACGTAAAATCAGCACCAAGCCCTGTAAGTGTGAGTTACACAGGCTAACCTCTCATGGCAGAAGTGCACCGACAGACTCCTTCAGTTACGACCACTACCCACAAGCATTTCAGACTGCCTTTCTGTGCATTCTGTTTTGAAAAGGAACAGCAAACGCAGGGGTTAGTGTCAGACATGCATGTCTTCAACCCACGTGTCTTGCTGAGGATGCTCTTCCTCTCACCTAAGAGGAAGATGACCACAGGAAACAAGACAACCACCAAGGGCCCATGGAACAGGCCAGCAGGATGCCTCCTCCTGGCTTGTCAAAGGAGCAAACCCAATGACACTGGCAGCAGGGACCGTGCCTCGCTGATGCAGTGTTAAGGGAGCTCGTGGGGTAAGCCATCACCTGTGGGGTGATGGGCATGGTTCACAGTGGGCATCAGTGGCCCTCATTTAGGACAGGAGTTACCTAGGAAATGCTGCATGAGCTTAGCACTCTGGGGGTGTATAAATTTGTCAAGAGAAACACACAGATGTAGGACACTGGCTTCTTTATTATTTGCAATGATTTCTTTTTACAGGTAATACCATCGGTGAAGATGCTCGCGGTGCAGAGTGCTTGCAAACGCTCTCCAGCTGAGATCTTGCGAATGGAAAGAGTTATACTAGGTAAGCTTCACTGGGACCTTTACACAGCAACACCAATGGATTTCTTACACATTGTAAGCACTACGGTTTGCAGATTGGTTTTCTCCAAAGAAACAGCTCCTTATCAAAGAAAACTAGAAAACACAGAGGCACACACATCCACACCCCACACATCCACCCCAAGGTGCTCTGCAAGCTCCCTGTCCTTAGCTATCTGCAAGCCTTTTGAAGAATGGTACAGTGAGGTTTATTTTCTTAATTTATATTTAAAAGTTTCTACTATTTAAAACCTTTAATTCTACTCAGAAAATGACTCCCCTCATAGAATCACAGAACAGTTTGGGTTGGAAAAGACCTTAAGATCAGCAGGTTCCAACCCCCTGCCATGGGCAGGGACTCCTTCACACTAGACCATGTTGCCCAAGTCCAGCCTGGCCTTGAACAGTGCCAGGGATGGGGCATTTACCACTTCTTTGGGCAACCTGTTCCAGTGCCTCACCACCCTAACAGGGAATAACTTCTTCTTTATAAAGAACATCTTCCTTCTTTAAAGGATAACTAAAACAGACATTAAAAAGATTCTCGTATGCACCACTATATGCCATTTTTATTTTCTTAAATACACACTGCAAAAATATTTCTACCTATTTCCCTCTATTAATACTGTACATAGAAAGCTGTCAAGAGTTTTGCTACATTTCACACACAGGTTTTTCTTAAACCATTTTCCTTTTCATCCCGCTCATGATCCACCCCTGGTTCAGGCAATGAGACTACCCCAATCTGGCACTTAGTTCACATTGCGGGTACTAAACATTTGATAGAAACAATTAAATTTTGTCTTCAAGAAACGATCATGTGTGAGTAAGGCAAAAATTATGTGATACAAACACATCCTGGATCCCTTTTCTTAAGGTTATGTGCAAATATAAAGCCATCTTAGGCTGCTGATTGTGAAAACTGCCTTTTTAGGTGCTTGTTTCCTTGGTAAATTCAGAGTGCAGTCGCTGTTATAGGTTCTATATCTGCTTCTATTCATATCTGCTGGCCTGAATTTAATCTTCTGGATAGCAATCTGGCGAATGCAGACACTTCAGAAATCGTCAGGAAACACAGACCTTGTACATTCATTTTAAGCTCAAGAAAAAAGAAACAACCCAGTTCAATGGTTGGCAAGTGCAAACACAAAACACCCAAAAAAGTAAGGTGTGGGGGGAACCCTTTAGGTTTCCTGATATGAAATGGAATTAGTCTGTACTTCTGATTGATAACATAGGAAAACATACAAAGTCCACTGACCTCAGGGGGGGGTTAATATATATACTTTCTCTTCTCTCCAGTTCCATGCCATGGTGATGTCCAACTGGCCCCATCTATTACAGGGGCTGCCTCAGAGAAATCCTTCCCTCCACGTCGCGCTCTTGACCAGACAGCTACAGCACTGTATGGCGTGCCACCAGCTATTGCAGTTTAAGGGCTCCACATTGGCCTTGGTGATCATCACCTTGGAGCTGGAGAGGCAGACTCCTGATTGGCTTCCTGTTATTACTGATCTGCTAAAGAAAGCACAGGTAGGAATCACAATGGCCTTTGGTCACAGATCTTGAGGCCAGGACAGTGATAAATTAAAGCACAGGTTATTTACAACCAACATTGCACTTTAACAGCCTCCTGAGCATCGTGTGTCCATGTGCTGTTGCTGCACACCTCACCCGTGCTAACAAAAGGTGGAATGAAAGAGCAGTTAAGGGGTGGGAACGGGAGAGAGCCCTCCCTTGGGTAGGGAAATGAGGCTTCCAACCTGTTTGGCCACAGGTAGCCCCCGACTCCCATTCTCCTGCAGTGGAAGTGTCTGAGAGCACCTATAAAGCTGCCCACCATGTCCCATGAGCACTGCGGACGCCCCTTCAGTGCAGTTACATGGCTTTCACAATACAATCAGTTTGGCTTCTGATGATCCACATTAGAGGCAAGCTCTGGGCTTTGGTCTTTTAAAGCTGTTCTCCAGCTTCATCAGACACGTGCCTGCTGAGGCACTGTACCTCGAAGGCTGAAGAGCCGGGCTGTCGGGTTTATATCCACCCATCTGTGGTCTTGAATTCGCCTGCAGTAACCCAGCCTCCTGCTGCCCTCCTGACCAAGGAGGCAGAGCTTACCCACCTTCTGTGCAGTGCTTCAGGAGCTCCTGGTTACGTGGTCTGCATCAGGGCCAATATGCATATTGCTGACATGAGGCATCAATGCAGGCTGTCGCTACCCTCCCCATAACTACAGAGTTACAGGAGCAGGAGCCAGGAGCCAGCCTGAACTTCCATACAACCTGCATCTTTCCTTACAGGTTAACAGCACTGAGTTCTTCAGCTGCAGAGAGCATGTGGATCAAGAGCTCACGCGCCTGCAGCCACCCAACGCTGTTTGCATTGTCCCCCATCAGCCAAGCCACCCAGGGCCATCCCAAGGCAAGGCCACCACACCACAACCCTTCTGGACTGAAGAATTCCCATCAAGCAAGGCTGAGGGTTGCTGTAAACCACCCGGGTTTAGCGCCTTGCACACCTCCTACAGCCCAAATTCCTGGTGACACCACGGGGACCGATGGATGCTGCGATGGATTCAGACCCCTGCACAGTGAGGATGTGGGAGCGAGTGATGGGTGGGTGCACATGGGTGGCTGGTGCCTCAGCGGAGGGCTCGAGGAAGCTCCCTGCATCCTCCCCTGGAGGGACCAGTGGGGAGTTACTGCCTTGGAAGCAGTAACTGCATGACCTGTCCCAGAGAGCAGAGCAGACAGCACAACACAGTGGAAGCGCTGCTGTTTCTCAGAGGATAATGACACGTTGGTATTACCTCTCTATTTCTTATCTCCTTCCTGAGCAGTGTGTGCTGCCTCTTGGTTTTAACATCACATAAATTCAGAGAGCTGGGGCAGGGACTTGGTCACGACCCCGCACCTCAGGGACCAAGTGGGCAGAAGGCTGAGAACTGCACCAGAGAGAATCAAAGGAACCAGAGACTGTTTTGGGAGCAGCTGTGATGAAGTGTGACAGGCTGAGCCTTTCACCCAGCTCACTGCATTGTCCTCTTATTAGAGCTAATCTCACTTGCCCATGGGAGAGCCACAGGAGCTGCTTTCGAGGAAGGGGGAGCTCCCAGTGCTGCTCTGAGAGCAGTTCTCAGGTGGAAGCAAGGTTTCCATTCAGCAGTGAGAAGGCTGCAAATCCAACCTCCCCTTTTCCTTAGGGCTTCCCCTGGAATGCGGGGCTCTGAGGTCTGTGCCCCTTCCTGGTGAAGCCGTTGAAGACCCAGTCCCAGTGCCTACGAGGTGTGGGAATTGTTTCTTGGCCACAAGCACCGTTACCTCGGGCCCTCACCAACCAGCACGTGCTGCTCAGGGATTCTTAGAGCCACTCAGGTTTACCACACAATACAAAAAGTCTTTGCAATTCCAGCTCAGAACCCACAGCTCCTCAGACCCAGCCCGGCCAGGCCCTGGCTGCTTCTCCCCTGGTCCTGCTTCCACTGCAGCCTTCCTCACCCACTGCAGGGATGAGTGATGTGGGGTCAATGTGCTCGTCACGGGGTTCAGTCCCTGCTGCCTGCAAGGGGTGGGAGTCTCCGGAACATCCCCATGGGCCCAGTTTGGTTATTTCACCCCACGTACCTGTTTGATGCTGAGATCTATTTCCCAGTTCTAGTCTATGTCGAGGGCATCCAGAGGTTTCGGTGACTGCCACATGCAACGCACCCAGGGGACAAGAGCTCAGTGCCTGTGGCTGCCAGTGCCTCGACACCATCCTCTCCATCCCAACTCACTCCTGGGTGGTGACAGCCCAGCCTGCTCAGGGGGGAACCTCGTGGGGGTCCTGGTGCAGCCTGCTCCAGTCACCCCATCCTGCTTCCGTCACCCTGCCCCACACAGGGCAGGGGCACAGGGTGCAAGCTGCCCTCAAGCATCCTACTAAGGACTGGTTTTCTGCTGGTCCAAGGCAAGAGCAGCTGGAGAAAGAGGCTGCTGGCCCCAGATGTGTGGGGCTGCACAGGGGACATCACATTGCAACCGCAGATACACAGGGCAAGGGGGTTACAACAGAGGGAATCTGGAGTAACTTTGAGGGTGGTGAATTTGGCCACAGCACTCTGCTGGTGCAGGGGCTGTAACTGATGTACAAAACATGGTTTTAACAGGTATTTGTTAAACAAGTCAGTTTTGTTTTTATTCAACCCAACTTTGGTACAAGCAGGTCATTCCTGAGATTCATTCACAAGGTTTGGTTTAAGACAAAGAGGAACTGGGGCCTCTCCCTGCTCTGTGGAGTCAGACTGGGGCACAGACGTCACGCTTCGGTTTAACCTGTTGGGGTTTTCAAACAGGTATGTGTGTAAGGGGAAGTCAGTCTGTTACAGACACAGCTCACAGCCAGGAACACCCGCTCTCCAGCTTTAAACCATTTCCCCTCCGTTAACATAGAACCTTTAGTTGTCCTTTGAAACAGTTCCCTCCTCACCCACCGCATCCCACCGGAGTTACCCGTCCCGGAGCAGCGGTGGGATGTGGGCAGGGTTAAGGTGTGAGGCACAGCTCTGCAGCCCTACAGCAAAGGCTGCTTTGGTTATAAACCTGTGAGTCCAAGGAGAAAAGCTACACAGAAGAGTTATTGCCAAGAAACGTGAGAATGCAGCGGGAAGGGACGTTAGGAGGTTCTCCAGGTCCACCCCAAAGCAGAGCAAGGGGGGACACACAGGACCCCCACTGCAGCAGCAGCAAAGCCAAATGCTCCCCTCGCACTATCCCGCTTTGTCCCCCGTCCCCATGGAAGCTGGGTCAGTGTTAACTGCTCTGTGCCCTCACCCGGAGCCCAGAGCTGGGGGGTTAGTGCAAGCCATGCAGCAGGCTCCATTAGCAGGTTTATCTTTGGGCAAGTTATCTTAGATTTCAACTTTATCAAGAAACCTGATGGAGCAAACTGTTCCCAATCAGAAGGCACGGTGCGTCTTAGTCCTTGCTATAAAATCTCTTCAGTGCAATACAGTGCAAGCTTAAAGGTGAAAGCACCAATTAATTTCTTCTGCATGAGATGTTTTGGCCTTAATAAATCTTCTAATTAACATATCTTCCTGATGCAATGGAGCACGCACTGGGCAGACTAAAAAAGCTACAGAAAGAACAAGAAGAGAATCAGTGTTTGAGTTTCACTTGCTTACATTAAGACAGCATGAAGGGTCAACGTACAGCTCTAACATGTGGGGCTGGGTGCAGGCGTCTGAATTTAAACCATCACAACCCAGAGGAGCTCTCACAGCTGCCAAGACCTTGTTTGGAGCCAGTAACCAGAGGATGGACTGGAAGCTGGAATGAGGAAGGGCTGCTGGAGCGGACGTCTGAGGAGCTGTGGGCTGTGATGGGGTGGGAGAAGGAGAGAGCTGTCCCAGCCTGGCCAGGACACACAGCCTGGGCCAGTGGCTTTGTGCTTGTCCTACAGAACAGCCAAGGACAAGACCAGGTTGGGATTTGGGTTGTATCCTGAAGGGAAAGCATTGTCCTGGGGCCTCAGTCACTGGGCTTCAGCTCTGGAGCTGCAAAACACGGTCAGGACCTACCTCACTGCTGAGCTTAACACCCTCTGCATTCCTCCTCTGTTGTAAGCATCTCTAGGGGCTTAGCATGGATATTAATGAATAACCTTAACATTGCTCCTATGGAAGATCACTTGCCAGTGCCCATCACCCTGCATCACCAGGTGACCCAGCTTTAAAATGACCCATCTCTACCACCTTAATTCCCCAACTGATTCACTGGGTTGGTGATGGCTACAGGCAATGTCCCACCAGCTCCAGCCACCTCTTCTGGTCACCTCAGTGCCAGAGCCTGGCCTGGTACAAAGGTGGGATTCCAACAGGCAGCACACACGACATCCAGAACTGCCCGATGCCTTTAAAGCAAGCTGTGTATTAAATGCAGACAGCAGAGGTCTCACACACCAGCCAATTCCTGTAGCAACAGCACAGCCCACCTGCACATTCCTAAGATGATCTTGGAAGCCGCCAGGATCCAGCCAGGATCCAGCCAAGATCACTGACTTGCTTCTGTGCTTGGAACTGGGGCTGCAGGAAACGCTCCATCAGAAGCAGCCCTTCAGCAAACACTGCATCAGCCAGCTCCACTTGTTGGCTTGGTCTGAACTGCAGCATTGATCTCAGTCCAATAACAAATAAAACCCAGAGAGACCCTAAATTACCCCAGAATAACTTCATATGTAGCGATAACACAGAACAGATTCTAGGGACAAGCCTTAGGGTAAAACTTCAGCAGCAGCACTCTGAAAAGGAGCCCCAGCCTAAAGCTGTGATTAGTTTTGGCTTTAACCTAAGCATACTATGTGGAAAGAGCATCCAGCTTTGGACGTATCACTGGGAAACCCTCCACCTCTCTCCCCTTTCATCCCACCCTTAAACTTCCTCTTTGGGCAGCATCACATCAGCCAACCTGCTGGTACATCTAAGGTACCCAGATCTCCCACCTACCCAGCCACCAGATCCCACAGGAGATGTGCCAGTG